TTGTCTAAAAATAGAAAATAATAATGTACATTTAGAAGAGTGACAGTGGGTAATTATAGAACAATAACTGTATCTAAAAATGTAACCTTCTATTCTTAATGAGCACTAAGAAGAGATTGTTTTGGACTTTTCTTGAAATATAAAAAATATATTTGGTTTTTGACATATAAAAAGATCTATATCTGCCTTATGACGTCAATTTTATTTCAAATGTTTGTTTTAATATTGTCATCTCATTAACACTTATGCTCTACGTAATCTTGGTAATAAAATATTTACTTATCCAAAACAGAACGATACTTGCTCGAACGATTTCAATTGTATACTTACATTAAATAAAACTACCAAATAGTCATAGCACATGACTCTAAAATGTAAATATTACTTATAGCTATGGTATAACGTCATTGAATAAAAATAAAATGGATATAATAAGTAGCTCACGTGCATTTAATTGCACTTAAATTGGATCGCGCTTGCTGGTGTACAAGTCCATTTTATCTGCTTGATAGTTTAGTATAGCTATAGTGAATTAAATAACATTGAAATTATTTTTTATTAATATCTATACAGACAGAACGTGTGATGCAGAGACATTACATATTTATTTTTTGTACCTATGACCATTATCGCACAGCAGTATGTGATTAGACAGGTAGATGTAAGACAACAAAAAGCTCACTAAAGGCACCTTGATATTATTTTAAATATATATTATATATAAAAGTAGTATAACTTTGTAAATAAAAATATGGAATATGAAATATAATAATATAATACTCGTGAAAGCTTACAAAAAACTCATTTAAAACATACACTTGAACGTGCTTACATCGTGTATTGGATTAATGCTTATAATTTGTGATGCCACGTTATTTATCTGTACCCATATTTTCGCTTTTATAGGCAATTTATTATGAGGTAATTGAAACTCCGTGTGTTGAGTAACAATACAGCATATCAACACTCGTTTTAATCTCGTTGGTTACCTTCTACAAAGCCTACTACGCTTAGTCGTATATCCATGCTAGCCAGACGACTAAGCGTAGTATTTTATTATTTTCTTACACCAACACATATTGTTCCCATTGTTGGATCTTTCAATATTTCGGACTATCTACCTACTCACACAGTGTAATTTTTATGTTTTCGTGACGATACAAAAAATACACGGTTCCCAGATTTTTACTATGAGTCTATTATAATATACGTATAATTATTTATATTTATCATTAGATGAGATACAGAATGGCAATCATAGATAAAACTGTGTTGGGTAATGATGCATAATGATTTGACATAAGTTTACTTATGTCAAATCATTATGCATCATTACCCTAAAGTTAAAAATGCGCAACTATCCAAGGTTTTTCCGGATTAAAATATAATGTTAATACAGTATTGTTTCGACATAATACTAATTTGTATAAATACAATTAATCGTAGTAATCCTGAAGCTTTATACGTAATATATCGCATTCTGCTATTATATTGTGTCCCTAAGTATTCATTCATATTTGTATAAATTTACTGAAATTGGAATTTTATTTATTTACATATTTAATTTAATTATGAGAAGTTATATTAATATTTTACTTTTTTTAATTGTAATATGTTCGATATGAATAAAGACTTTATTATCCTATCCATATTACTATTCTTATATATATATATATATATATATATATATATACCCGTTGTGAATATAAAACAAACGTGACCGGTTTCGGCTTTTTAGGGCATTATACATACATACCTATATACATAAGTAACACTTGTATTATTCTGTGGAATCATTTTTATAAAATACAATTGTATTTTTTTTTCAAGGATAAAAATATTTGTTATATATTTTTGTGAGGTTTCTCTCTTATCCTCTACTTCTACCATAACAATAATACATACAGTATTGTGTTATACTCTGATGATAGCGCTGGATAACCTGTAACTAGGTTATCCAGCGCTATCCGAGATAGGAGACAACCCCTAATCCACAAGAGTAGCAGTGCCAAAGGAACGCCTGCAGCAAAATATTCTATTATTTGTTCATCCCTAACGGTTACCATTGCAATATGCATCAAAACACCCATCGACCTGTCCTCGTAATGAATCCTACAATTACACATTTCATAGATGGGGTACCTGCATGATATTTCTAATGAATATCATAACAAAAAAATATTTATGTTCGAAATGCATGTAAGACATGAATAGGTAATTAACAATCATTGCTTACCACATCAAATCAGCAATTATATTTATGAATTGAATAAAATTATTGGTAATATCTATTTATTGCGTTATCTTCTATACTTCAATGGCTAGTTATAATAAATGCATTTATAATTTTTTTAAATAATACTACAAAAAATAAACAGTACTCACTTAACAATTAAAAGAAAAAAATGGAAGTTAATATGATACAATTACTTTTGACTTGTTGAATTGAATAGGAATTTCTGACTACGACTTCTTTGCTATAGTCTACAGGATGCTGATTAACAAGATGGCTAACGATCAAGGATTTTTATTTCAAAATTCACAATAAATTTACAACTTCACTAAAAACGTTTTACGCATGAACTGTGTCTACTAACTTAGGCGCTATTGCAGTATTTGCGAGCATTTCACACTTGCAGCATCTCCACGAATTATTTTTGCGGGCTAAGTGCGCACTGCTCACACACTCAAGATGGAAGTGTGATGAGCAGTGACTGCATTTGATTGAGGCACAGCCTTCCATTGTACGATTACAATAGGCACAGTCCATTTTGTCCAAAATTTAAACACCTGTAATATGAAATGTATAACTTTTAATAAATTATCACTTGATTATTACTTGATTATATACCCAGCAACGACGGCGATTAACGGCGGTAGAACGGAACATTTGAAATGCGTACTGCTATATTCCGATGAATTATTTGAATCCACCGTGTAAAGCATAGATTTAGTTTTTATCACGGTTTTCGTCACCATAAAAACAAATATATTCTTCTGGTGTAACAGTAATATCTACATTATATAAAACGCATAAATCGCTTAGACAGGGAATAGTTTTAAAATAGTATTTGAACGTTATATAGGGGATGTATTGTCTTTGAGAAAACACATTACAAATTAAAAATACAATTATGTTATGCCGAGATCTATGGAACAAATATTTGAATGACCTTGCGATACAGTACTCAATTTGATGACATAGGACTGTTAAGAAATTTAAAAACTAGTTATATACTAAAAAATAATTTAAATAGAAATAGTAGACTTACGCAATTTTTATTCAAAAAATATTTCAGAATTGTCCACTTTTTATATACTTTACTTCGGATCCTTTAAATATGCATGAATTTTTTATACTTTTTAGATATTTTTAGCGTGGCAGAGAGAAATAGACTGAAGAAAAACAAATTGTAATCGTTTTGATTTAGAAATTCAAATTATTGCTTTTAAATAAATATTCTTTGATTGATACAAAACAAACCAATGTAATAAAAAGGTTTTATATTTATTTTCAGAGTACGTGATTCTCCACAGTAGGCATTCTTTAACAAACTCGGCGAAAAGTACTAACTCATGATTTAATATCAGAACGAGATGTTACAAATTTTATATTTTTTATATATTGATCAAATCAAATTATGTGCTCTAAGTTGATGGGATTGCATTACTAATAGGTATGACTTGTTTAATATTGATATCCACTAAATAAATATACGATATAACCCTTTATCACTTTATTTTTAATAATCATTTTCTATTTTCTTATGTTACAAGTGCAATAGGAGTACATATATAATTATAATGAGAAAATAGGAACGAAGTGAGAGGTAGACATAATAATGTGTACAAAGCTAATTAGATTTCAGTGAACTTAATAGACTCAGAACAATTACTAAATTGTTCTAAAATTTCTCTTCTACTCTTATTCCATGTAATCCTTGATTAAATTTTAATCTTGAACGAAAAATTTTAGTTAAAAAATATATTAATATTATAAATTATATAATACCTTTTACTGTACACGACAGTACGTCGGTATAACGGCTAGGTATATATGAAATCGCTTTTAATTTAAAAAATAACTATCTGATATCCCGTATCAGCCTGTCTAGCCTGCCGCTTGCTTGATTCACTCATACGCATTTTTTGTTTATTCATTAGAAACGAATATACAAATAATAAAACCGCTCTCTCTTTTCTTCTCTTTATAATATTGGATATAGATAAACATAAAATACAGTTAGACGGTAAACGTTTTCCAATTTAAATACAAAGCGCATTTGAATTACAATAGATCTACCAACTCGAACAACAAAATTAAGTGCGAGACCACAGTGAACTCTTTCTATCTGAATAAAGTCTTGTTATCGAGCTCGCGTTCTATTTATTGTATCTACGTTTTGGTACGAACTCAAGACATTTGCTGTAGAATGAACAAGTATTCTCAAATAGAATGGTAATTTAACTTTAGCTATTCAATTTACACACTGAAATATACACAGTTTATTATTATTTTCAAATCTACAGAGTATTTAAAATATACCGCTACAATTGTTATTCTGGTGAGTACTAGATTGATCTCACTATCAGTTACATTTATTAATACTTCTTGGATTTCCATTATTAAACTTATTAATTAAATATTACTATACTTATTATATAAGTTAAGCTAAGTTGAATAGGTCTCCTAAATCTATATATGTATATTTTGGAAAATCATAAATGAAAAATTTTCTTTAAGTTTGTATGTATTAAAATTATTATTTGTATTATTTCTTTTATAAGAAACTAAGCAACTACGATTCCTCAATGTTAAATGTCAAAAATGACTGCCAATTGAATCAGAAGTAAAAATTAGAACACAGACTTCTGTTTTCAACTGTCTTTAAAACATAGGGCATTCTCAATTCAACTATTATTTATATAAATAGATTGTATTCTAATTTCATATTAATTGTAATCTTAAAATATATAAACCTTAAACCTCTTTTGTACAGACGTGGCGGAGAAGGCGGTGGCGCCCGAGTGCTTCGCTCGACACCTGATTGGTGCGACGGCGCTATTAGCGGCGAACATCTCTGGTCACCGACATCCGTATCAGGGGACTGCTGTTATGTTGGAGATGCCGAATGTCAGGTAAATGAATTTCAGTTGCCATCCTCGAACATATATATATACTTTTTTTGGACGTCCCAATACAAAAACTCAATCGAGATACTAGACTTTATGCAAAACTTCTGGACACATCTCTTTCCCTTATTTCAACCGCTAGATAGCTAGCATTGCAAGATGTGATTCAGAAAAAGGGAGCCATAACATCGTAGTCCTCTGGAATGGTAAAGCAATAGAGATCTGATATTGGACACATATGTTTGTGGTGTTGTTCATAGTTTCGTAGACGGTTACCAATGGTAGTACTAATTATTAGATTTTATTAACCGACTCTAAAAAGAAATAGTCTGCCCAATAATGACACTTTTTTATCGCGAATTAGGATAAGGTCGGGAAACACAATAAGACAGACTTGTATTAGTTTTCATAATTATTATTTATTATAATATTTTATACTCTCATCTCAAGTAATTATTATTGTCATTCATTTAATAAAACTTTATTTCATATATCGTAATAATACAATGAACCACGATTTGAAATTTTTCCGATTCTATATGTAAATGTTTAACACAGAAAATTTCTGTCGTTATTGCATATTCATGTTACGAATTATCATTGTAATTGATATTCCGCACGTGGTTTTTTTTCCCGCGTACAAATATGTACTTACTCTATTTTATTTTCGCGTCCCTTCTTTTTCGTAATGCATAAAGCTTCGTCCAGTTTCCATAATTATGTTACAATAGAAATCAAATATATACTAATATTATACCCGTAAAAGAATGCCTGTCTGACTGGAATTTAATAAAAATTGACTTAAAAACCGATTATTACGAATTATACTATGCTATCTGTTATCTCAAATCAGTCAAATTCGCGAGTAAGTTTAATATAGGTAGTATATAATATACCGCATATTTTAAATAAAATATAAAACTAATTTCATAAAATTCTGTCTATATAGCCATAAGCCTTAAGCGATAACGCCGCCTTCTGTTTACACAATCATGTAAAATTTTCTTAGTCTAAATATTATTCTATGCGCAATAAAGAGTTATATTGTTATTACTGTAAACTCTTATATGGAATAAAAGTTTAAAGAATTTAATGTAGTTCATATATAAACGATTATCACGTTACATTTGCAAATCTAAAAAAAGAAACAGCAATTTGGAAATCGATATACCTAATCTCCAATGGCAATCCATCGTCAAACACAATCACACGAAATAAAATGAACATGAACACGATGTGCGAATATTAAACATTTGTATATGTTGTTTGTGATGCGAACAAACAAGAGGAAGTACGTCTCATTTATTTTCTGTATAATTATTCGCAACGTATGGAATTGGGATCTGTATAATGAATAAATACATAAATTATAGAATTCATAGCACTACTAATATAATCAATTCCATCATTGCACAAACCGCCAGAAATTAACAATGATGATCCATTTATCCTGATGACCTAGATAAATGGAGGTCTCAAAGTACCTCGCTTTTTCAAGATTTTTTTACTAAGAACTATATTATGGAATCAAATTTCCTGCAGGATGGTAGTATTTTGGAGCTTACCGATATTAAAATCTCAAGGAATAGAAAGTATAATATTTGTTCTTAAAGGCAGTCTCAACTGCTATTCCCTTGGTGCGAGGGATCGATAGAAGTCATCAGGCATAAGGTAAGTTCGTTTGCCACCTTCCTTTGAAATTTTATTTATCTCTGTGGTGAATGCAACATTTAACAGGTTCATATTTCGACCGATATATTTTAATGCAACGTGGCACAGAACGAGTTTACCGCCGTATTTACCATCGGTTTAATAGCGGAGTAGGATCCTACTAATCCGTCGTCGAATATCCTGTCAAAAAATAGTACTATATTATAAACAGATAATTATTTTTATTGTCAAATAGATTTGAGCTTATAACCTCTTGTACGTAATTCAGGATAGTAAAACAATAAGCCAGCTCTTATTCATCCTGTATTAATTATATTCATTAAAAGATACTAAGAGGTTTAAAAGCGTCCAAATTATTCAACTAATTAAATGAGTCGAAAATAATGAAACAGAGGACTTTGATCTTATACAATACAGCCAGTTGTAGATCCTTTCGATTGGCATGCAATTTATTTTGCTATTGGAAAGCTATAAGTATAAATTAACAAGTATAAATCTCAGTGTCACCTATTAGGTTCCTTACCATTTTACAGTTCCCTCTAAAAAATAAATCGTGAAAAATATAAACACCGACACAGACAACCTGTTAAATATATATTTTTTATAAATACTAACTTACCTAAATTCAAAGGTTTCTTTGGTATAATGTAATACTATAATATAATGATTCTAATATAAATTAAAAAAAAGAAGGAAAATAAATATCACCTCTTTATTATATCATAAATACATAGTACATCCAATACGATCAGATAATTACAAGTTTCAAACATAAGCAGAGTTTAGGGAAAATTCAAGTTAAATATATTTTGATGGTATTTCACTAAGCATCTGATCCTTTCTCGAGACCTACTTATCTGTTTGATTTATAGAACGAAAACATAAAAAGAGGTACCTAGTTAGCAATATAATTTATAGAATATAACATCTTGTTAGTAGTTTTTATCCCTCCAATTTTCTTACGTGATAGCCGTATGTTTTCTTGTTACGAGGTCGGTGTCCAATCTGCATAATATTAACGTTATAGAGACAGAGCTAACACATTCTGATCCTATTATATTAGTATTTATCAACTGAAATTGTGAAAGCAAGAATAAATTTAGTTATTTATTTTCATGTCAATATTAAATGTACACTCTGTATAAAATATATATTTAAATATAACAAATATACGAAAAAACCTACAAATATGTGACAGTAGGTACTTGTAAATCTGTATATATCTGTTGACGTAGACATTGAATGCTAAGTAACTAAAATGTTTCTATTGAAATTTGAAGCCTTTGTTGCCCTGTTGAGTGAAATAAAATACTGTTTTTATTTAAACAGCTGAATATGTTTAATTCCCTTATTTTTTCGTCACATTTAATTAACATTGCTGAAAAATTTGCAACAAATATGTACTTGATGTCAAAAACACTCTATTTATTCTTTCTAAGAAGTGTTTTGAACTTTTCTTTTTATCGTTTTCCTGCTTGCTCTGGAACTGCGTACCAAGACTCGAAGATTTAATAAAGCCACTGCACATCATCAGTGACAAGAATAACGAGACACAGACATGAGAAATCGTAAACAATTATGCCACCATGAAAAACGTGAGAGCATAATAAATTTCTTTGTGATTACAGAGGATTAGGTGTGTACTTCCGACTAGTGACCCTAATAGACATTTTCTTAAATGAAATAACAAACATTAACTCTATTACCGTTCTGAAATGAGATACTTAAAAGATAAACGAGCGATTGTATTATCTTAACAACTTATTTACTTTGTCAAGGATCATTTATTTTCTGAATATTTCGTATTGTATCGATGATACCTAATACTTATATATAATTTTATGGTGAACTTTTGTTACTTATTGTAATTAAAATACAAATTTACTTCTACTGCTTGTAATATTTTAAATGCATTGTTTAAAATGAGTATAATAAAGTGTAGTCACTCAACTTGTCATCGTCTCCATAATTAATGTTTTTTTTTAATATCATGATAATAGATTGTATTATTTACAATTAAGTATTATGCATATATTCATCAATAAGTGTCATAAAATGAGGCGATAAAGTTCTGTTAGTACATTTGGTGCAATCAACAATGGTTTTAATAAAATATCTGTTGGAATAAACTTTGGAGCTGCTTCAATCTCATCTGTTATCATATTCTCACTATAAAAGTTATATTAAGTAGATAATACGTATAATATCTATAGGTATAACATTTTATGATACGTATGTTTTATGAACGTTACAAATACAGGTTAAGTAATATATATGACTTCGTCAATTTAAGATTACGCGCATGGAGACTTTAATAGGTTAAACGTCTGAGAGAAAATTTCTAGCCCGATAAAAGCAGGTAAGCGTTATGAAATTGATGTAACATCTTAATAGCGTACTTGCATCAAATTTATGTTCTTTGAATACAATATACAATATATATTGTATTTAACAGAAGCTATGAAAGCTTTGATTAATAAAGTTACAACATAAAGGTTTATGTTATCTATTAACTCTTAAGGTAGGTTAGGTAGGTAGATTTTGTGCAAATTTACCCCCATGAGTAAAGAGTACTTCTGCCTCAACAATTTCCTCCTCCAAGCAGTTTTCTTTGTAGACTGTGATTCAGTTGGACCGCGAGATATATTAGAAAAATTACAGAGTACAGAGCCATGATGTCTATCTAGACATCATGGCTCTGTACTCTGTAATTTTTTTTTAGCCATCTGGCTAAGCATTAGGAATTATAACAGCATCTCATATCTCTATTACATGATGACAGTACTGTTTATGAACTTAACAACTTAACATCAGGACAGTTTGTTCAACATTTCAGTCAAATGGAAAAAAAATATAATTAGCACTGGATTATATATTTTGTTACATCCAAAGACAGATGAACTATACTGTAATTTAAAAAGAAATATTCACATATATAGATGTTCAAGAAAACATGAGAGCTAATATATATTGTCATAATAAATATTATAATGCACAATAATATTACAGTTGAAATTGCTTATAATTTATTTAGACCACGTATTAAAAAAATAATAGTGGAGATATTGTAATTTAATATACTGCTGTTCCTATACATCATCATCATCATCATCATCATCATCAGCCCACTGCAGTCCACTGCTGGACATAAGCATATTCCTATACATAAACATAAAATACTACGTAAATATAAAAGTTTTCTCTTATCAGTTTATAGAAAATAAAATGAGAACAAAATTAAGGCTAACTAATGGGAAATAATAATACAACGTTTATCGAACAACACAAACCCATTCCTTTTATTTTTCCGTAACGAGGCTTATCTGGCTCCCTATTTGCAAATATCTTTCACTTCTATCTATCCTGTTATTTGTTCCTTTTATACAAAAGGTTTCTTTGAATTACATCGTGGAGCGTCTGTAAGTAGGAAAAACCTATTGAATTTCAGACAAACGTCGGAATACAATTCGGCAGGTGGTAGCGAAGCGACAGGGCAAGAAATTGTAATTTCCTCAACAACCATTAGCAAGTTTCCTGTCCATTGTATGATGATAGCAGCTAGTGGCCGTCATAGTTGAATGTGAGATTAATGGCCCGCCTAGCGTTATTGAGGCGATGTCCAGTCATTTTGCCGTAACAAAAGCTTGTGGACATCTTTTATCAGTTGCTTTCCGGTAGTCTTTATTGCATCCAATTGGCACTAAATTCTTTTCCGTCTGGAAATTTTACTAATAATTCGTTGTAAGATCAGGAACTCATAGGACGGATTCAATCCGCGTTAGCCCCATGATTGAAAAGTGAAGTAAGATCTATAAAAAAGCTATTGCTTTTAGGACATGGATCTCGCTCTAATTCACCAGTTATTTTATAGTTCCCACTGCACCAACAAATCGCACCGGTGCATCAATCGCATAAGCCGCGGTAAATTCCTGGCTCTGTGAAAAGGAACTCATCAAAGGACGTATTTTTTTAAGTTTCTATAATACACTTGTAGTACTTGTACATTATAGTGCATTAAGTAGATATAATACAGAAGGATCTTCTGTCCAGCCTAGTCACAATTATCAAGCGCAGCTATTGTGAGAACCTACATAATTAAAGCTACATGACGGTAAAGAAATCCCACTCGACTAAAAGAGCGCTATGAGTTCTTATCCTAAAAATTACGATCGCAGGTACTATATGTTTACATGGTATATGCCAATTATTTGCCTATTCAAACACAACTAACATAGTGAGACAGCACATTTCTGTGCCCTTTGAAATTTTATCTAGTCAAATCATCATGCCAAGGATATCATAAAATTGCCTCTTTGATCCCCTTTATTCCCCTATCAGCCGCATACTTCAGGCACGTGTGCGTTGTAGCTTGCAGTGGTCTATTATATTCTGACAACTATAATGTGCAGTTATGGTTCGCCTCTGTACGTGGATTTTCCATGTTTCTCTGAGTATTTTTTTTTAAGTTTATCTCCAATGATGTTGCAATTTTAACCATGATCCTTTATATTTATAGAATGTAAAAGATGACACGGCAATAAAACTTTATACAAATATCAGTGAAGATTAAAGATTTTACGGAATAGTATAGTAATGAATACATGCATGTACATATATACTTTTCTTGTAGCATGCAATTCCGTACAGGTATGGCTCCCTAAAATACATTTGGAACAAATGTACGTCGTAATTTCTCCCTTTTTAGCGCAGCCTAATTGTATCAGAATGAGGAAATGACTTACGTAATCTTTCTTCGACAAGTTACTGAGTGCCGCTAATAGGCTTACAACTTCGAGAGCGATATGATTATACAATGTACGATTAATCACTTCTACAAGTCAAAACGTACATACAACAATAGCTAAGATACGAATTTATAAAACTGAATATATTTTTATACAATAATATGTTGTCTTGTATGATTGATAACAGTAAGTTATAAAAGGGTCGTGTTAGCTACAACAAATTTATATTGAATAAACCCTTTTCAAAGCACAATTTTGTATGAAACATCAATGTTACATAGAATTAGTGTGTGTATGATGTTTTTTTTTCGAAACTACTACAGAATGGTAGGTATCCATCCGCCGCAATAATATGTAATAAAAAATATTAATAAAGTAAATAGTAAATAATATATACTAATAAATGGTTATGGATAATGGATATGGTTAAAGAAAATAATAGTAGTAGTATATAAAAAAATATATGGCGTTGTAGTCAAAGTTGTTTTTAACAACAATACCAGTTATATACAAAAATTTGTTTTCTTAAATATTATTGACACTTTGGTATTTAACTACCAAAGTCTCAATGATATTTATATATACATAATACAAACAAATACTATACAAACTAACTTCAGTGGCTGCATTAATCCCAATACAATATTGATTTTTTTATAAGAATGTATTGATATTTCGTATTAATATATCGTATACATATTTATTCACTTATTTATACAAATTGTATTTGACTTACCTTTAATTTTGTAATAAAATATCACAATCATCGTTACATTTCAGTAGAGATGCGAAATGTGTATGTAACACGGTTTCTTGAAAATGCCTGCTTATTTGTTTACCTACATGCGATACTTTGTGATCCCTAAATGGACCTCTAAAATCGGCTTTTGTGCTTATGGTCAAAGGTGTTTTTCACTAAAACACCTTTTACGCAAAAGGTTCATTTTGTATAATGGTGTGATCTGATAAAACATGTGTTTTTTTAAATTGTTCTGCTCATTGGAAGTTGCGGTTATAATACAGTATCATTAATTCCATCCTTCAATTGTTTTTGTAGTTGGGTATAATACCTATATTATTATCCGTATAGCCATAATACCGCTATATAATTCTTAATTCATAGTTTTCTTGACCCATGTTGTGCTAGGTGATTTTTTATTCATAAACAAGCTGGCTGCTCACCTGATCGTAAGTGGCAACCGTCGCTAATGTCCATGAACAGCACCACGGACATGCTATCATCATATTATCCACGTAGTACTCATCAAGCATTGCCATTCCAGAAGACTGTTATGCAACTCTATCCTATAATAAAAGATAATAAGAAACATAGAATAAGAACTAAGTAATAAATAACCACCTGAGGAAATAGACGTAAATGTCATATAATAAGAATAACTATCTCTAAGGCCACCTAAAAACCAATGTGTCTTTAAAATACCATGTGATTATTATACATCTCTAACTGTCTTACTTATTATCCTCTTGCATTTAAATTTTTTATAAAATAATATTTTTTATGTACTTGTAACTACAATAAGATTATAACTATTAATTTTATTTATTATCAAATTGTAAAAACATGATATAAAAATTTCTCAAGTTATTTTATACAAATACGTGACTGGATTAGCCGGTAGTCGACTATCTCACTCAAGGATCATTGATATGCAACAAGAACTGGCGTAGACTAGCCTTAAAATCCAAAGGATCAACGCTACTTATGGAAGTTTACAACAGGATCCTGAACCGTGTAGTTAATCCTGTAGAAACTTGATATATTCGTGCCAGCTCCTTTGCAGTTAATGAACAAAGTACCTATGTGTTGAATCGCAACCTGTTGCCCTTGTGTATGAGATACTTTGTTTAATGGTATTGTACTCTGATAGCGGTAAAGTACCTACATTTAATTATAGGTACATACTAACTCGTTATGAAGAATACATGACTTTTCTAGAAATCTATCCAAATCCAACTTAAAAACGAACTAGGCTCTCACTAGATACTGGGAATTGATTATGTTGAGTTTGTTCATTATTTATAGGTATATTCTAATAACATTAACAGTTAAATTTTAAGTGATTTATTCCTGTTCGATTTTATTTTATGTAACATAATATTAAAGTATACAATTTAGAATACATACTAAAAATAAAACAGAAAGGCAAAGCAATGAAGGAGTCCTTACGTCGTTAGACTGAGCCGTCTATGTTCATTGAATAAAATAAATTCATAATTATCAATGTAATGTTTGTTTTGTTACAGAAACACGGATCCCGTATGAAATGCTCGGCGTGCAAAATCGTCGCGCATACAGCATGTATCGATATACTAATGGATAGAGTGCAATTCACTTGCAAACCCACATTTCGTGACGTGGGCGTCAGACAGTATCGTGAGCAAACAATCACTCACCACCACTGGGTGCATCGGAGGTCAGAGAAGGGCAAGTGCAAGGCTTGTGGAAAGGTGAGTGTGCTTAAAAAAAACAACGTAACTAATTCTGATGGATATTTGTATATAGAGATTGTTTGTCTTTTATTTTTCGTCTCTAACTCTATAATGTTAATAATAATTACTCACATTATCTCAACCCATAAAAGATTTATAGCACATCTAACTAAGAAGATTTGCGGAGTTTACTACACATCAAATATACAGGATCATATCAGACGAGATCTTAGTGAAGTAATTTTATGGGATTACTTTTCATTTCTACCTTTTATACATAACAATATTATATTTAAATATGATACTGTATTTATGATAATGTAATAAGACTGAAATCGCAAAACTGGCATCGTATGTATTAGCTGTCAAAATTCGTACATATTGTCTCTTGTTTTGTTACAACATAATAATATTTTCTAAGAGTTCCATATATATTTAATAAAAGGAGAAAGATTAACCACCTAAAAACATTCACAACTATCGCTGAAATTTAAAAATAAAAACTTAAACTTTTTAAATATACCTATTTATAAACTTAAAAAAAACTGGGTGTACTTGTAAAATACCAACAACTAGTACTAGAATTTATTAATATCGATATTTATATATCGATATTAATCGATTATCGATCGATCGAATATATTAATTATCCATATAATTAATCGACTCTTAACACAAATAATTTTATGGTAAATGAAAGTTTACCTCTATGTATTTTTATGTCATCCTTCGAGTGCATTGAAATGTGTTTTTATTGATAGTACAAATCAGATAAACTTAATAAAGCAGACGTTGTCAGACTTCGACATAAAACCAAATGAGAGACAGGACGACACATTGTATCTAACAATTAACAGTGTAATTAAAATAAATCTAACAAAAATATTTCATTGTCTAATTTTGTATTAATACGTGGTTTCGACAACAAAATATCTTAAGAATGTGAATAATGTAGAAAGAAATCATATATCTATTATTTACTTTATGTAATAATAGTTATTCATCATGTTTTTATGTATTAGGCCTCTCGTAATCGGCAAATAATAACAATTTTTAGTAAATTTTAGGTCTTCGTTTTAGTTATATGTCCAAAAGTAAAAAAACATATCACATTTTAAGTATATTATTAAACTTCACTTACTGTATCGATCCATTAAATTGCATGACAAAAATCTATAGTCACAGTTAATCGTTTCACATGCGCAAGCATAATTTATGTATACTATAACCAAGTATGATATATATTTGGTTGGTTTTGTCCACAATTAATTTTAAATCTTAACATAATATATATATAAGTAGCGTGTTGAAAAATGATTCCACATTATATTACTGACATTACTTTAGTTTTGCTGAAATTCCTACTGTACCTTATCATTATGGTAGCTGTTATATTTATTGCCACAAAACAAACGTAAAACAACAGCAATAAAATTATCAGAATAAGTTACGTACATAACTGAATCTGTAATAATTAAAGATTCAATTGTTTTTATATCAATCCCACACAGTCTGCAGGGAGAAGTAAAAGATAATGAGAAAAGTTTTCAAAGACCCACCTATGCCCATTAACATTTCAACCGCACGCTGCGTGTGAAATACAAGTACCATTTACCTATTCAGCGCCAAGTTGATCAAAATCAAGCGATGATTTATTTCAGCCGTGGAACCTATTACATTATTTAAAAACTTTTAACTTCGAACAATATTAGAAACCGATTAATTTAAAATTGCACAAAAAACCTATACACATCACAAAATTAATATAAAATCAGCCTGTTATATCTTCTGGAAAGTATTATTTATATAATATTTTCCAGCAGGGGAGTAGTCAGTATTAAATACTAACAGTATTTAATATCGATATATACGGCACCTCGAAAGTCACGAAATAAACTATACTTCAAATCTTAATTCAGAACCGAGTATAACATGCCATTAAAATACCATAAAGTAAAGTTTTTGTTTAGAATTTTATTATTCTGCAAAAGACTTTGAAGAGTATTTGAAGATGAAAAGGAATCGTGACATAAGTTTTTTTTACTCTTTTAGAGAACAAAGTTACAAAACTTTTAAATATTTACTACAGCTTCAAGAATTTCAATTAAAAAAAAGTATATTGATATATATATATTTCATTTTTATATTTGAATTTTAGGCTTTAATAATGTTGGAGAGTATACCACAATACTAAATATTACTCATTCAAGACTCGAGATGTAATTACCTACCTACATTGTGTAAACTGCAGTTTGTGTAGTAACTACTTTAATCGTCTGTGGTGCAGTGCTGTGGTTAAATGAAGTTTCTAAGCACGTAATATTATTTAAACATCCAATTTTAGTCTAATGTTACAGTCTTCTTTAATAGTAATAATATAAGAGACATTATTATTATGAAAGAAGACTTTTACATAATACATACTACATACATACCTAGTAATTGATTGTACTAATATTATAAAAACGAAAATTCGTTTATTTGACGTTATTAATCGGAAACAAAAGTAGCCAATATTATCTTTATGTCACACAGATTATGTATACCTAACCCCGCTCACTCATAAACAAAGTTATATTAACTATTATAGTGTATCGTAACATTCTTTGAAATGTTGAAAATAGGCGTTAGATAGAAGTTTGGCATATTTATGCATTCTATCAGGAGATAATAAACAAATAGGTTTCGAATAGTATAATTACTCCAAATATTTCTTACACATAGAAGCGCTTACTTAGTGCAAGCAGATACTTAGTGATTGCAATCATAGAAGAAAATAAAAGGAAACATGACGATGAGTGCAATTGATATTGAAAGTCAAATTAATGGGGTGGACGACGAACGTAAATGGCTTGTCGTAGATACCATGTAATTAATGGAATAACTCAAGTGCAAGCCAAATGCAAGGTAACTGTGGTTAAAGGATCGATAGGTTATTCACCCTAAAGATTGTTAAGGGGAAACGACTAAAAGAATGGGAAACAACGTCATATGTATACGTCGTGTAGCCAATCTATTTGACTAAAAACAACTTAAGAACACAGGTTTTATGCAAAATTTTATGATTTTAACATAGATATGAATGAATCCTTATTATTTTATATTATTTATTTTATATATATTATTAGTCTATACTAAGGTATTTCTGTAGTTCGAAAATAAATACTGAAAATAACTGTTTAATTTTCTATAATTTAGATTAAACTGTACGAAACTTAAGTGTTAGCGCATACAAAGCAATTACTTAATTTATATATAATATACATGTCAATCCAACAAAATAAAATTAAATCTTAAAAGTATCTTGTTTATAAAATATAGACTATAATGCATAATTAGTATTACATTAACAACTAAAAGTCAAATTTACTAAATATTTCATTATTTTCTATACAAAAAAACATTGACATACTCTATTATAATGTTTACTTCATACTTTTTTATAAATATTGTATTTTTTGAATAGGTAAAACTTAGAAATATATGGTTCTTAAATATTTTATCTACAACTATAATACAGCAAGAATTAAAATTACGTAGTTTGCGTGAATATATATACAAATCTGTCACGGGGATAATACTATGTATGAGTGATATGGAAAACGCGCCCTCGCAACTACGAGCTGCGGCGGGCGGCGGGCGGTGGGTCCTACAACTCAGCGTAGAGGCTAAGCACGCTCGCCCGCCCGCTCCCGCCCAACGCTCTGTCAAGCTGAAATCATTTGCATTTACCTCGCATTTGGCTCGCCTGCGTCACGACACGAACGCTAGAAGCATAAAGCGAAATTAAAACTTCATTTTTAATGACGTGTTAGCATATCATACCGCATAGCTAGCTTGCACTACTTGCTTGATTTTAAGTCGTTAAAAAGAGGTTTGTAGGTAACATTGTGAAATTATGTTGATGCAACATAAGCTAAGTTGTATTATTTATGCATCAAGATTATGTACCATTTGTAGTAGTAGTAAAATGTATTAAGGGGGTCTTCCTATGTGACGGCCTGTTTTTTAGGGATATTTTAGGATTTTTTTTCTACGACCAGTAAATATTTAGAGCTTCAAGTTTTTTATCATTTATTAACACATATTTGGACAGTATAAATATAAAATTTCAGCTAAAAATATTCAGTCAAACTAGAGTTACAGCGCTCTGAACACCCCCGCCTCGAAAAAAAGAGCTCCCACTTCCTCCACGATTCCGGCTGATTGGCTTATCTGAAAAAAAAAAAAAAAAAAAAAAACGGCGTTTTAATTTGTAGGCTTAAAAGCACGGAATGACCTATAATCAAATGAATATAAAAAAAATTGGATTTTTGATAGACATTTGAAATAAAAGTTGCAAATTAGGCGTTTTTTTTTTTTGTTTTTTGCTATAAAAAAATCGAAGTTTTGAAAATTTCATGCGTTTACATATATTGAGTGTACCCTGTAAATTTCAAGTAATTCGGTCCAGCCGTTTCTGAGATACAATGGAGGAAAGTTTGAAAAACACAGTTTTGAGAAAAACGCGTTTAAAGTTTCAAGTCCGTTAAAAACTATTAAAATATCAACTTACTCTCAATCGGCGATGCCTGGTCCATAGAGTATTCCTTCCTCTTCCTCGTGAAACTCTTTTAAAGCAGATTGTTCAGCTCTTGAGTCAATCCTGGCTTGTTTAACGACATCACTTACGCGCCGCTCAGAGCGTAAGATTCGCTTTTCATACCGTTTCTCAACATACGCTTGGGCTTCACGACCAACAGGGCATCCCATAATCGACATAACTTTTAAAATACCTTGAAAACCTTCATTAAAGATAATAACTGCTAAGTAGCTAGCAATTTCAACAACTTTGGGACCAGAATGAAGATGTTTAGGAGCGAAAGTCCAAATCAAAGAATTCAAAGATTCGTTATTGTTTTGTGTCTCTGCTCCTAAACAACGAATTAATAATTCGTCTTTCGATAAATCTTCGAAAACCGGTTTGATAGCTTCTTGGACTTGCGGAATTAGAGGTGGTTTATCGTGATGAAATTGGTCCAGTTCATTATTAGCTTCAGCCTTACGCCATTTACACCAACTGTCTTCGCCTTCTGGACAAAATTGATGCTGAGGGTTTTCATCAGAAGAACATTTGTGATAGTACGTTGCCCAAACTTCCTTTCTCATATCTTCAAGCGAATCTGGATGGCGTCGAATTGCTAATCCGTAGAATTTTGTAATTTCTTGGATAACTTTATCAGTAAGTTTACCTGCTCCTTTTCCTCCTATTCCTTTATTGGTTTTATCCTTTTTAACAGCCCGAAGTCGTGTTCCCATATATTATCTATATATACCCACACATTCTTTTTTTGTTACCGCAGTATCTCCATACGGTTTAGTATCTAGGATGTCCTTGAAAGTTTTGCTGTCACCGTCGCCAATGTATGTTAGATACTTTACGCCATATTTTTCTACAGACCTCAGAAACATTTTCGTGATGGCACTTATTTCCATTTTACCGGAACTTCCGGAATGGTTTATGGTGCATTCATCTACATGCGTTTTATACCACATCTCGTATTCTAAAGGATTTGTTTTTTTTTATTTTTCCACAAATTACATCCACCACAAAAACTACTCATGACCATGACATCTAAAACTTTCCCAGTGTACTTGCCGATCAACGTAGATACGCCGAGCAGAGATGAAAAGCCTCTTTTCTTCCAAGTACCGTCACCTGACACAATCAATTCATCCTGTGGTTTTCCTGATTCTTCATTCATAGTTTTTTTCTTGCGTAACAGCGAATGCCAATAAAGTATCACACAGTAAAGATGTAGCAATATGAATGTTTTCCAGTAGTGCAGTATAAGTAGAATTTGCAACACCCCAACACATGTCCATAAAGCTACAGAAAAGATTTACTCCTTCTTGACCAACTCCCAATAATCGCATCGCAAATACAAACCGACGATTAACCTCAAATGCATTTCCGATCAACGGGCCTGAGTTTATAACTGTCTGTTTTTCACACTCACACGATAAAATAATTTTAAAGCCTAGGCCTCGGAAACTTGATCGCGAAATAGACACGTCACTTTTACAAGTTTTACATATAACTATTTCAGAGATTGCAGCAAATACAGAAACAAACTCCAAAATGCAATATGCGAAATTCGAAGCGATGGGAACATTCATGTTCATGTTATTTTTAAGTTTTGTATCATTTTGGTGGGTAAAACGGTTTCCACAAAACTTTCTTTTTTTACTACGACCAGGATGAACATTTCCACTCGTACTTCCTTTCCGTCCACTCATTATGAAAAAAAATAATTTGTAGGTGTTGCTCTCTTCGAAGTTCAATCAAGACTAAAATAACTTCGGTAAAATATTATAACAATAGAAATTTCTGTTTAAGTCTGTAGAAACGTGTCTAAACTTGTATAAACAAATATATTAATAAAAGAGAGGCCAGGTATAAAGCCGACGGTACACAATAGGCCCGGTCTCTAACTGCCAACTCACCGCTCCGAACCGCTCTTTCTTTTACCTGCTGTATCTTTAAAATGACTTCGAATTTTCTAAAATCGCTTTACTACCGTATTCTAGACATGTTAAGGGAGCAATTAATGAAAAAAAAAAAAAATCGATTTTTTCAACCCATCACATAGGAAGACCCCCTTAATGCTAAGATTCTAGATATATCCACGTAGTAGATTTTTTTTAAATATACACTGGAATTTAATAGAAATGCCTCTTCATAGAGCTCAATGGGTTAATAGTACCTATCTCGGATACAATGTTGCACATTAATCGCTTGGTTACTAACACAGATGATATGGTTTTAATTAATTATCAAATATATAAGTAATATGCTTAATAAAGTTTATTACTGTGCTTTATTAAGCATATTACTTATATATTTGATAATTAATTATATTTAAGTAATTATCAATAACTGTTTACTTTAACTAAAATGTAAATTTAACTCTATGTATTGGAACATGTTGCATATTTATTATTAAAATGACGTTTTCAAAATTTCAACTAATAGACATTTTGAAGAACAATATTTAGTATTAAGAAGTTGTTTAAATATTACATATTAATAATTACGGCCTTTATCATCTGTAGAATAAAGTAATGCCATATTTTGTTTTCTTCTTTTATGTTGCATAGTTACGTGTTTGTATTTTGTGCATGTTGTGTGTTGCATGGTTGTTTTGTTGTCACAGTCATTCCGGCGCAGTTGCTGTGGTTCGTGCATATCAACACAAGAGTCAGTACACAGCCCTTTACGTGTAGACTATGAATTGTTGGACCGCGTGCGTATTATAATTCCTGTCTGTAGGCAGGTGCTACAATTAAACCTTGCTTTTTCCATTAAAAATCTAAAAGCTTTTACGGCTACAATATAATTCACTTTGTTATAATTTAAAATATACGAGTATAACGAAAATAAACGTTTACTTTACTAATCCGTAAATTAATAATGACTACCTATACTAATTAATGTTAATATGGTTTAGAAATATTTTCATAAAATTCTCGTATCACTAATGCACGTAAATTAAAATGTATTAATTACCTCTTATTATATTAGTAATTTAATAAAGAAATTTTATTTGCCAACAGTCGCTGCAAGCCAAACTATCTTTCAGCTCAAAAGAAATCGTGGCTCTCAGTTGTTCGTGGTGCAAAGATGCTTATCACAATAAAGAAAGTTGCTTCAATCTTCAGCGAATAGGAGAAGAGTGTTCATTAGGTAACTGACTATGAGCTTTTAACATTGTTTAATTAAGGATTGCTCTTAAATACATTAATATAAAAACAATATTTATTAGGTTCACAATCAAACATCTTAGTGCCGCCCTCGTGGATTGTAAAATTGCCAAGAAAAGGAAGTTTCAAATCTTCACTAAGAAAATCGCCTAAAAAGAAAAGTGCCTCAAAAAAGAAAGGAAAAGATTCAAAGAATGAGCAAAAAACATTTGTGATAAAACCAATACCATCCGTGAACGTGAGACCAGTGTTAGTTTTTATAAACCCCAAGAGTGGAGGCAACCAAGGCGCCAAACTTCTACAGAAATTTCAGTGGCTGCTGAATCCTCGACAGGTTTTTGACTTAACTCAAGGTGGACCAGGACCTGGGTAAATGCCTACTTTTGTTACAATTCTAAATTAAAATTTTTACCGCACTTATAAATACATAATTTAAATAAATATTAAAATCCTTGTTAGCAAAGGAGGACTTATTTCTAAAAGAGATCTCAAGAGAGCCTAAAATAGTGTCACATAAATGCAAATAACTGTAAGAAAATAAAAAGTTCAATATTTATGTTATATAAAATTAAGCTAAGCTTCGAATTCTATTGATTACATAATCATTGAACTCAGTTCAATTTATTGAATATGAAGATTACACGAATCTTGTCGAAAGAAAATGTTAATATCAGCAAGTTGCAAATTTGTAGGTAGTCGTTGACCATAAAAAGGAACATTTTTTTTATATATTGGAGACATAATGTTAATGGCATCTTTATTTTTTATTAGAGTAATGAATAATTATGTCGACTTACAATTATAGTGCTTACTTTCCTATCTCTAAAACTGTTTTGTCATGACGTTGCATTTATTATGAACTTTCTTTATTAAAATATTACATAGAAAGTAATACCTGCCTAAGTGCTGCGCTTTCTGTATAAAATGAGTACTTAATACCATTAACAGTACCTAATACCTTTAATCATAACAACGTCTACTAATATAATAGTTAGAACGTTTTTTCCGCCCCCACAGAAATTGCTTTATAGAATGTTTTATCCATATCTGCTTATTATAAATATCCTATATTCTGAACGTTAATCCTTGTTATGCCATGACATTTTTTGGACAATACAATATCCTGTTTGCGATGAGCAATCAAAAATTGGCATCGCCATGGGCACACAGATGCTTCTATAGTAATAATTACGTATATAGCTAAATATCTCATCTCAGATCAATAATTTAGAGAAACTATAATTAGACAAACATAACAGCATAGTCAGTACATCAAAAATATATTTCCTTTTTTGTAACGTTAGTAATTTTATAACAAATGTGTTACGTACGGACAAAATCGATACGTTTTTTTAAGTAATAAATCCATTATTATATGGGTCAAATAATAAACAACCCGATTAATACCTAAAGCTCAAGGAAACCCCACTGCAAGAATGGCCAGTGTTTTATTTCGTCGTTGTATAATGATCTTAGGAATTGTCGGGCTAATGGGAATTGATAAAGCCGTCTGAGCCGCCATTAAGTGCTCTTTAGAGCTACTGAAGCCCTTTCGACATTTTGTCGATCGATTTGATTCAATTGAAACATTCTTGTTCTATGTTATTAACAATAAAACTTTGCTAAAACGTGAAGAATTTATTGCTTAGTAGTCTTTTTTTAAAAACCATTAAATTACGAATAAAATGGATTTCATGAATTGATTTATGTTCGACATATCAATCTTTCAAAGTTCTCAAATTTATTAGTGATTTTTATCCACCTACACAATAAAATAATGCCTACAACAGTACTAAGCAAATATTATTTGTATAGTAACTATACAACGAGAGGATGTCATATGACCATATATCGCGATAAGAACTAACAATCTTACGACAATTTCAAAAGTGTACTAATATATTTCGTTGTATATTTTTAGATCGTGATTTTTAGTAATCTAATTTTAATTTTTGATTTTACCTTTATATAAATTATTGATTTTACTTTATATATAACATAAGCTTTCGCTAAAAGAGGACTTTAAAATAGCCAAAATTAATGACACCACGTGTGCAAAGTGGCGCCAAAAATTACTATTAAATGTAACAATTCCAAAAAATAGGCGTTGTATAGGATTTACCTAAAACCCACACAATTGTTGCAGGCTGGAATTATTTCGCAAAGTGCCTAATCTGCGCGTGCTGGCTTGCGGCGGAGACGGCACTGTTGGCTGGGTCTTGAGCGTTCTGGATCGCATAGCTTCAAGACCTGCTGTTGGTGTGCTACCCTTGGGCACTGGCAACGACCTCGCCAGGGCACTCGGCTGGGGTGGGGTACGTCAGTTTACTAATACTAACTAGTGGTACTTATTAGGTAGTCACTTATGTAGGTAATAATAGATAATTTCTATATTTCATAGTCCTGTGAAATAAGACTCACATATCTATTTATATACATTTTTAAGGAGTAATTTGGTCTTCAGTGGTAGATACTAGAACGATTACCCATAATTGAGACAGACCCTCTTGACCTCTAACTTCATCGAGGTGCTTGACTGGAACGAAATATTGTACTTAAGTTTAATGAAATGCAAAGCTTTATTTCTCTGTTCATTCATTTATATCTCATTCGTTATAGCGTTTCATATTTATAAATAACCCTTATTGTTAGATTAGATGTTTAACAATCCAACACACATTAACATGACATTTTGTTTACAACCAAGAAATTATTTTCAATCTAAGGTAATAAATAAATTTATTATTGTTTCAATAAAACTGGACTGGTAAATAAGCCTACGGTCCACCTGATAGAAGTGGTAACCGTGCCCTGTATGTGTGAACAGCACCACGGACATCACATTAATATGTGATGCCTAAGATACCACTCATCTATATATGAGTAATAGATGTATGAGTGGTATATATATATATATATATATATATGTACTCTCCATCATGTAGTTTCAACTGAAACATATCCTACAAAGCAAGCTGCTAGGCGGCTGAAATAGGCGACACAAAGTGATCCACGCAAACATTGTTGTACAAAATCTACCTCAGTAAAATTCTATGTTACCTACATAGAATTTTACTGAAGTAGATTTTGTATAAAGAATTCTGTACAAGCTCTCTAAAATTTTGAACATATTATAAGTAGATAATTTCCATTTTCCATTGTTATAAAATTATAATAATTATCATGAAATAATAACATAAAATATCTAGTTGTACATTTATAATTAGATATTCTACTATATTACATGTGCGTAATGAAAATCAAGTAACGGGGCTTAAATTTAGGAAAGATGTTTATCATATTCGTACGTTGTTGACTATACATAAGAAGATAATGTAATGCAAATACTATGATTACCTGAAGCTTGACGTAGGTACGGCAATATGTTTTAACGAGCTCGTAAACAACATTTATAGCTTACATCGCTCATCAAATTTTATTATTGTTCAAAACGACAAACTTCGGATGAGCGTGGACGCCGTCAAAGTAGCCCTTAATGATGTAACTACCGGAATTTGTATGACATTATTGCTATCCATATAAATAATCATATAATCAACAAACCATAACTCCATTAGTTCTCCTACAGTAACTTTATTAGTTTTGGCTTCATATTGTCTAGAAAGCTTTTATTTTTATAAAGAATCTCATTAAGTTCTTTGATTGTTAACTCGCTCCGAAATTATAAAGTACATATATTGGTATTACCTATATAAATTTTATGATACTTGGTTATAATTAAATAAAAAAATACAAATCTACTGATTACAATTGTTCAAAATATCAATAATATCAACATATATTGTGCTATAGGTATCATATGACAGTATTGTAACATAGAAATATTATAGTAATATAATATTCACTTGTGTATACATTACATATTTGTTTTATTTCAATTCATAGAATAAATAAAATTAACACGAATTTCACTTTTTAAATGATAAAAAAAAACTATATTTTAGGCCGTAAGCTACATGAACAGTATAAAATAAAACTCGCGTAAACATCGTTTATTATTCTATGAATATATATACATAGGTAAATAACTACTAAAAGCTACAAAATTTTTAAAATATTTGTTTTATTATCCACTAGCGAAATAAAAAGTAAAACTGCGCAAAAATAGTTTGTGGTATCTTTCTGTCAGTGTGTGGTAAATATGAGCTCTAAATTAATGGGATCGATTATGATGGAGTTTTTTATGTGAAAGTTGACGTGATCGAGATGGTTTAGCTACAATTTATGAAGGTTTCCCCAGCCATTTAAAAGTCATCAGACCTTATATTAGCTGCCGTATTTTTTGTGTCGGAAGGTACTTAAAAATTATTAATTTTATATAATATTTAATTTACAATAAGGTGAAAATAACAATGTCACACTTCTCTATTCATATTTTAGGCCAACAGGTAACAGCGAAAGTTCAGGGTGATACTCGGGAATTCACACAGATTTTTTTAGCGTGAAATTATATAATACAGTGAATTTTGACTTGTAATCTTATGTGTTCGAAACAATAAAATCGTGCAGAACTTGAACAGTATATTAATAATATTAAATCTTCTACAATTCTTTAAATAAAATGTTGCCTTGTGGCAATGGAGAGAAAATTGCATGTGCTCTATTTTTTTTTTATAACCGCACGGAAATTCATTCAAATTAGAGAAAGAAATCAAATTATATTAACTTTGAAGTTAATATAATTACAAAATAATTAGATATTTGATGTTATAAAAAAACAAACAAGTATGTTTGTATATAAGTAAATATTATTAAGTATATATGTTTAAATGTTATGGCTACTTTAGAATAAATAATTGTATGTACTGAATTTAACAGGGTTACGAAGATGAGCCTATATCGAAGATTCTAGCAAATATTGGTGAAAGTGACACCGTGTTACTGGATAGATGGCAACTTACAGTAGAACCTAATACGGCAGCAGCAGGCGAAGATACAAGGAATGCTAAACCAGAACTACCGCTCAATGTCGTCAATAACTACTTCTCCTTTGGAGTAGATGCTCATATTGCTCTTGAATTTCATGAAGCGAGAGGTGAGTAAAGTTCAGTAGTAAATTATTGTTTACTTTGTAAGTACGTACAAAATAAGAAATGTAGAATTGGTTCCTGGTTGGACCTCTGTAGTCTAGCAATTTAGCACGCTGCTTTAATTCAGATAGTCAAGGGCTCGATTCCTCTTATGATGTACATTTGTATTCATGAGATGATTGTATAGTGCGTGTTTTCTGTGTACATATTATATGACTGTATGTGTAAAAAACTTAAGTATTTATTTATTTCTGTCAGTTGCCTAGTACTCATAACACAAGCTATACTTAGAGGGAGCTGTGTGAAGTCTTCTGGTTTATTGTAATTATTTTTAATTATATCGTCAAGCACTTTGTAAGGTTTATGGTAGAAAAGCTGAAATATAGGGGTGAAATTACAGTGTACAGTGCACAAGACCTAGCATTAATGTTACATGTCGACTTGATGTTCGTGATGTACATTTATATAGATGACAGTTGCCACTTTCCATATAGTGGGTGGTCAGCTTATTTGTTATTCCAGTTACATAAAAAAAACATGAAATTAATTATACTGTTGCGACGAAAAGTGTAGAATACAAATACAAAAAGCTCAAACGACACGCCACAATGTACACAAAATATCAACCTTCGCATGTATGAACAGTACACCTGAACATCTCTCGTACAGAGGTAGGTGTCAGCGTATATAATTTACAAGGATAGAGGATATGATGTTTATTCTTCTATCTTCCTCATATAATGCTAACTGTTCTTTTTATTTGAGACTTAGTTTTTGATGTAACAATGAAAATAATTTAAACCTTATTCCCAAAGTTGTAAATATTACAAAAAAAATCTACAGTATTTTTAGCTAATATTTACCTACACATCACATTACAAAACATATACATAAACACACATACATAAACATATATATATATATATATATATATATATATATATATATATATATATATATATATATATATATATATATCATCGGCAGCATAAAACCCACTCGAACTTAGCCATTTTTTTTAATATTGATATTATTATTATGCACATATTTCAAGATACTGTTTCATCTTGCGTATAAAGTTCGTGATAGACAAACAGCGTCGGCATAACAATAGAGTTCTACAGAACCCTAAGAATGTATAAATTATGAACCCAGTTTTGTATAATTCAATCCTCTTCTATTAGAAAACATTCATGTTGAAATTAGGCAATGTTTGTTTACATTTGATATTAGGAGTTTAGTAGGTATATAGTAGATATTGTCTTTTCTCATTCTTTGCCTTAATTTGTAAAAAATCGTGTCCTTTTTATTGTTTACACCGAACACACAGGTTAATAAAATTTTTGAAATAGATGAATGTCTTTCATGATATTTTTACAATGAAAAATGTCGGTGCAAATATAATATTCATATTAAACTTGATCATAAATTTCACCTTCTCTAAATTCCAAAATATATTGATAATGTTTATAAAAGATTTCTGTAAATACTTTCTATAGGTTTTATAAAGTTACTTACAAACGTAAAGAAATTATATAACCATTCTTTTGATCACAACATACATATTGTAGTTTATTATACAGTCAAAAACAATTTACGTAATTTAATCAGCATTGTAAATGAGCAGACAAAAGTATACATTTCTTTATCATAATTTTATTATTATATTCAAAACAAAGCTGTAGATTTTTACGTAATTATTATTGTAATATTATTACAAGGAGGTAGGTCTGTACTTGCTTATTATTTTCTAGGAAAACCAAGTAGTTGTAGAAAATTAATCTACGATGAGCTATTTATTTATTCATTAGGTTAACAAGAAGGTTAACACCAATGTAATTACAACGTATTTAACAGAGTAATATATATACGTGACTTATATATGCTTGTGTCTAGTAAGAAATAGGTCAAAAGATAATTACTGATTATGTCTTATTTTATTTCATTTAAACAGAGGCGCATCCTGAGAAATTCAACTCACGTATAAGAAATAAGTTGTTCTATGGTACGGCTGGAGGGAAGGATCTGATGCAGCGGAAGTGGAAAGGCCTTGCCGAGTTTGTCACCATGGAGTGTGACGGCAAGGATCTCACGCCTGTGCTCCGAGAGCACAAAGTTCACGCTATTGTTTTTTTAAACATTCCAAGGTACACTTATTATTATTTTCCTAAACAATACTTCTGGGCTTACTTGTATTTTCTCCATAAAGAATTCCTAGAAATATTAGTATTCCATTATAAATATTTTTTTAATTATATATGTTAAAAAAATACTTATGATGGAAACCATTGTTTAAATATAGTTTTATATAATGGTTAATAAACATTTATTATATTTGTGTGTACATACTACAGTATAAAATGTCTGTGTGGACTTTGTTTATTTCTAGCTAAAAGCAAATTATGTTTGTCTTAAAAATATTATATCGTACATATTTTTTTTTTCGACTATAGAAAATATTGATACTTTTTTCGAATATTTCTAATATTTGAAAGTAAACTGAACCAAAAAATGTTTACTAACATATCTAAATATTAAAGTAAAATAGAAATAAATTAGAATGTATTAGATAAAAAAGAATATAAAGTAAGGTCTACAAAGTAAAGTTTATAACACATACATTTTATTTTCACATCTTATGCATATAGATGCAGTTATAGAACTGTAATTATTTATTGAATTAATTTAATACGAAGTTACTAAGTTAATGTCGCTTTATTTTGACATTTTCATGTCGAATTAATATTTATGTCTGTTAGCATTACGTAATACATAATTTAATCGCAACGTCTTATCATTCGCAGCTACGGGGGTGGTACTCACCCCTGGAACAAATCGGGAGGATCATTTGAACCTTCGACTGAAGATGGTCTAATAGAAGTAGTAGGATTAACAACATATCAATTGGTAAATATTATTATACTTTTATTGAATTAAATAAATTTTACTTACTAATTATCGTGACATTTATAATATTTTATATCATATCATTGTAATTTAATTATTCAGTTAAAAATACATTACAATACTTTATTGATTACTAATAATCATCGTTAAATACACGTAATCTTAAATATCTAAATAGTTAAATATACATAATTTTAAATAAATTAATGTAATTGATATTACGATATAACTTAAATTGATAATGGTAGTCCAAAACACTGTCACTATTCGTACAAATTCGGAGCTATACAAGCCTACATAAGCTATATTATGCATTCTGATTATTATTGTTAATTTTTTAAGGGTCATTGATTATGTGTTTAATGAATTTCTTCAATGTTTTTGTACACTTAATAAAGTAATCAATCAAAGCAAAGCAGTAAACTGACTATTTACAGACTCGAATCTGAATCAGATTAACGGACCTTTCGTACTTTTATTTTCGATTATTGCACGGAATTGTCATGCCATGTCAGCTCCACATACACCCGGGTCCCCCTGGAAACCGTGATGGTAAATTACCATTTGCCAAGAGGAAGAAAAGAAGGAAGGAGAAAAACTGACCTGACTTCATGCTATATGCATTTTATCATCCTCCACTGGTGCCCCACAAGCTTAAACTGTTGGCGCAGGCGGGTGCATCATTACATTATCATTAATATCTCTATCTGTCAATTAGGAACCTTTCACAACATTTATTATTCATTCAGCCGTTGCTGCAAGCTGGCGGTCATGGCACATGTATTACGCAATGCAAGACTGCGAAGATTGTCACCACGAAAGTGATACCAATGCAGGTGGACGGCGAGGCATGCAGGCTCGCACCTTCCATTATTACTCTTTCCAGACTCAACCAGGCTACTATGTTGGCTAAAAAGAAACCTGGACGAACTATAGCACCGTAAGTTGTGTTCAATAGAATCGATTTGTAATGCTTTAACTTTACTACCGACATACATATTACGTACCAATTAATATTTTTTATATTTTAACAAATCTATGACTGCAAACCCAACCAAAGTAATTGCAGTTATTGTTAAATTAAGCTACCATAATTGACATGTGTGCGGTGAATCTACCCCAGTCTCTCGAATTGAGTGGTTTCTTATTAATATTACCATCACTGGAGAGTCAGTTAGTGATATTAATACAGAAAGTTTTTGGTATGCGAAAGCAATTGGGGTGTCCAAGACGGAATAAACTAGAAGGCCGCGGTGGTCTTTCTATTTTGTAGTTTCTGTGTAATATATTTCATTACTTGCATCTGCTCCGACTATTTCTGGAATCATTAATATTGACATGCTATTAAGTAAAATAATCATTAATACTGACTATCATCACATGTTTTGATACTAGCTCTAGATTTACATTATTACATTCTATATTGCCAGATCACATGTGTAAAAACTGGCAAATACTACCTAAACATCTGTTACTAGCCATATATTAATCACTGAAAAAAAAATGTCTATACTCACTTCTGCAATCTCACTCGGGATCGGATAGTCAGAATGGATTATCTGCGATCAAATTGCACAATATTTCTTCAAGCATGTCCAATCTATCGTGGCATGATTTGCAATTAGTTTAGTTTACCGTCACTTGCTTGAAAATTATTTTAATGGGTAAAGTAAAACTATTTTAAAAATAATGAATACAAAATTATAACTTGAATATTTGTTTAAAACTAGAGTTGATTCTAAATAACCCAAAAAATCCTTAAACAAAACTACATTTTCTCTTAACAGCAAAGGGTCATAATAATTAACGCGGTAAAAGGTTTGTACCAGAATTTTAGTTGACAATTAGATACATTACAATTAGGAATTATACAATTTAACTTCTAAGATATGTATATGGAAGGTATAAACGAAATACCACTGGCACATTCTTAATGACATTTTAAAGACTATTTAATGTAACCAACATAAGTGAATTAATAAGTAAGATAAATAAATATGATAACATCTCTCAAGTAGGTAGCAGTAGTTTTTTGTTAGTACCTATAATATGTTCACTAAAATTTATATTTCCTTAACTAGACCTTAAAATATTTCAAAATATTTTAAAAAAAAATCTGATAATTGCCTTAATAACTGGTCTAAGTCTAACTTACTAGGTTCTAATGTATTCCACTTTTTTATAAAATGAATGATTGCATGAAGTTTTTTTTTTTTATTGGGTTGTTTGGGCTAATGTCAGATGTGTAGCACCTGTAGCACTGCGACCTACATAGATCTATTGTGCTCGCCCTTTTCAGAGTTCGCTACCTAGACCCGTCAGGGACAAGAATTGAAGGATATTCTTAGGAGCGATCGTTTTTATCTCCTCGGGAAAGAGTGTAAACTTTCCAAAGGAGATATTTCGTTTATGCATGAGTGGGCTACAACCACATAGGATGTGAAGCGGCGTTTCCTCTTCAGTTTGGCAGAATCTGCAGATACTTGTCGTGCATAGGCCTAGCTTAGCCATATGCTTGTTCAATTTGCAGTGTCCTGTGAGGGCCCTAGTCATCATGCATATGTTGTTTTTACTCAATTGCAGTAATCTATGTATTGGAGTATTTGGTCGAGAAGCCCGATATAAGGTCTTTTGAATGTATTAATCCTGGCATTTCTTGCCAGTGATTCAGTGCTTCTCGTTTGGTTATTATTGAATGAAGTTACAATTAACTATCATTCTAGCCATGTCAACGTCTTAACGTTTGTCGTGATATCAGTCCGTTTATTAACATTTGGTTGTATTATTAAAATATTGCGACATTATACGAAAACTGAAATTATAATAATTAGTTTAGTAATTAACTCACATTTCACTGCACTTTTCCCCTCGATTATCTGATTATTTAAGGCTAGTAAATATTATCACGATGTAGTTAACCAGCTGATTCCTCCGTCTGCAATTGATATAATTGAACTTAAAAATATAAAATTTAAGCACATACATAAATAGTAAACACACTCACATTTGCATTTATAATGTTAATGTTATACTGAGTTTCTCAAATTATTTTCCAAACACGTACATAAAGTTTGTTTAATTTAATTAATGATTCATTACATGGAATACGTAAAATCCAAATCAATAAAACGAATACGGAATTTCGATAAATATTACTGTTTGTTATTTTCTAAATCCATACGTTATTTATGGTAGTTATAAATTTGCTACAATTAACATTTAATTTCAGTCAAACAACGGTGGACAAGTTGACATTCACAGTGAATCTCATTACAATGGGCGACTACGAAAGACATCATTACGATAAGGAATTACTCGCCAAAACAGGTAAATATCTCACTGTAAAACGTACATTAGGTTAACTAAATTAAGGGAAGTCTATAGAATAGAAATGCAATAAAATAATTAAACAATAAATGAATATACACACAATTTACAATAACTAAGTAGCGCAAGTAGTTATAGTTTTTAGATTAAAACAAATAGTTTTTCTGTAAATGTTGTCACATGATAAATATTAAAAAAATACTGTTCAGTATATGTGTTATTGCTATTTTCCCAAACTTGATATAGTAGCATAATTTTCCCGGACTACTGCGGACGTCTGCCGAGCAAAGTAAATTGATTCATACATAAATTAACTGGCAGAGAGTACCGTGACACGAACACTCTAATGGACTTTGCGTATAATAATGTGTGCCTACTCTTGTATTGATAGAAACATTAATATTTACAAAGTTTCATGGCAGTGAACTTGATTAGATTGTACTTTATAGTTTTAAGTAGGTCGTCTATACAACGACCTACCTACCTTATGTACAACTGACATGAGACTGATACCGACGAATATAGTTACACCTCATAAAGAAAATGAGATGACTATTGTATATTCTCTGCTCAGGTAATATATGTTATGAAAAATTTTGCTATCTTCAATTTTTAATATATTTTTTTGCATTTCTTTAATTTTTTTTCTCAGTTTAAAATATTTTATGACGCAGACATTATGTATACAAGTTTTATATATAAATGTAATCTGTCCCATTATATAAATAAAATATTTGAAACACGAATTATAACAATTTTTATTATTTACAGCGGAGCGTGTGGGCACTCTTGAAGTAAACCCAACGGCAGATTTGGAGCAAATGCGCACTCTCATACAGAACGTGATCAAAGAATCTCAAGTATACTCCGGTCTCGTCGACTGGTGGTTTGTCGACTGTAAGTTCTGGAAAACATATATGCTTTTTATTTTTACTAAGTACGTTTTTATTATTTACAATGCAATGATTAGGAAAACAAACGTCAATTTATTATATTATTACTTTAGTTCTATAAAATTAATTCTTATAATATTAAAGTGTTATCAAATTTAATTTTAAAATAAGGAAGGTTTATTTTACTGGAATTATAATGATGATAATTGGTTGTCATTTAGTACAATGTCTCTATTTTACATTTGTGCAACTTTTATGGAATATTATTTGAATATTAATAAATTTATGATAAAATCTGAAATAGGTACGAAGTAAGAATTTAATCAATTTTATTAATTAATGATTAGCATATTACAATATAATAAATATAATATTTATAATAGTATGAGTTAGACGTTAAGGTAGAAACTACACGAATATTCATAACTCATTGTAACGTAATATATCTTCACGGCATCTATATGCCTAAGCTCTCCATCCTGTTCATGCCGCTTGGGACTTAAAAGATTTGAGTGCTATTTCAGAGAGTCCATAAATAATTCCTACCGCAGTATCGTATATCTTGTAATCCTTTAGTATATATATAAAACTAGCCTCAGTTGCCTCAGCTGTCTCTTTGCCAGGCAAATATCTATTCAGTACTTTGATAAAACGTGTTCCACTATACTTCTACGAATCATGTAAAAGTACAAACAGAATGGTATAAAGATAGTACGACCCATAATATTTATGAAACTGTACAAATAAATTAAAGAAATACAATTGACTGTTTCAGTAAATATAGTTACGCACATATAAATAAGTAACCTATACATAAATAGGTAGCTTATGATGTTAATAAGTTTAGCAAATTCCTATCCAGTTATATATACTTTTACTTTATATTATACACAATACAACAGGTTTACAGTGTGAGATACATATATAAATACGTGTGTGTATTACTTATATATTTATTTAATAGTAACCAATTGAGTTTGCAGGGTCTCATTTGGCAGTAATATAAATGGGTACACAAGCATTACCTTAGTTCCCAAGAGCTGTAGAGATAGCAATATTCAGAAATGCACTGTTTTATTGAAATCCATAGTCCAATGTGAACGTTTTCTTTTTATATACAATTAAGCTTAATTTTGGTCATATAAAAAGTAGAACGTACTATCTACAAATGTAATTAAAATGTTTATATCATGTTGAAGGGAATTGGTTTTCGTGGCACAGGTTTACCTATTTCGAAAGCCATGTATTAAATTGTACTGTATACCTATTTGTGAAAAAATATTATTATTATTATTTACTTATTCTAAATACCTTTCAGCCGTAACAGCAGAGCGCTTCTTTCGTATCGACAAGGCTCAAGAAAATCTCCACTACCCCACGGACATTGGTAATGAGAACATATACATTTTGGACACGGCGCCACTGACACCGGACACTGAGTCGACGGCGCCTCCTGACACCACCGCGACGGCATCCTTCGACCGCACCGGGCCATCCGTCTCGTTAGACACTACAACAGGCCTGTCGGTGTCGCTTGACATATCTCAAAGTGTCGACACACCCAGTGCGGGAGTATCGCTAGATGTCCCCGAGTCGCATGCCAGGTAACTTGATATTTTTTTTCTACTTAGATAATATTGTAAATCGAGCAATAATATATTTATTTTTAAATTAATTATCACGTTTTACGAATCGAATTAAGTTACTAGGTATATAATGTTTAGTAAGCAACGTTATTATTTAATTCAATTCCTAAATGAAAAACAGATGGCGCCGATCGAACAGTCAATTATAATATCTCAATTAGAAACAAGTTAAGATTGTGATTTAATTAATAACGAATTAATTGATTAAAGTTAGAAGTATTATTAAATAAATTTAGCCCTTCATTTTCAAAGTAACAAATTTGGCTTATTATTACATAGCTACACTGTACCTTTTATTAAAATTCTGTACCCGCTGTTCTTATTCACAAATCGATTGAAAGCCAATATTTAAGCTCTTACACTGTTATTTACCTACCAGTAGAATAACTACTAAAATTTAATTTATAATGAAACAGTAGGACACGTAGTAAATGAAATGCTTTTCTTTGAAGATTTTATAATTAGATAAACATTTATTTTATGTAACTTGTATGGATGGCAAAGAAATTGACAGCCTGATGATATGTGGCAACTGTCGCCTATACAATATATATGTACGCACCTATCTCGTCATAATACGATACCGGTGTAACCCCTCACGTGCTGCTGTGATATCCCTTCAGCGAGCAAGAAATATTTCGTTTTTACGCTCGTACGCTACAAATGGATTTGCTTGGTGACTTAGGTGAAACAGAGGTGCGTGGGCATAAGAATTTGTAAATCTACCTCAGCGAACATACCATTGTATTATGTTAGTTATTTGTAAATATAGGTTAATAACCGAGACATTAATATACATGTAGAATTCTATTGCATATGCATGCACATTGGAATGGAATTAATTCTAGATAATGGAATTCGAGACATGGTGCAACATGTTATACGATACCGGTATCTGAAGAATAACTTTAAACTGAAAGTGCACTAACAATATATCTAAATGTTATTGAAAATATAGTTAATTGTATCTCATACCTCTTCAGTCTAAGATTTTCTAGAAGAATTTAGCCATAAGGCGGCCCATTGTTACCTCTGCGTTGTTCGTAATTTCTTTATATAAAAAGCCTTTGTGATATATCCGAAGTGTCTTAAAAATCTCACTGTTAAGACAACTAAAACTATAAACGAATAGATATTATTATAAAACATGGAAATAAAAATATTAATTAAAAAATAATTAGAACATCCATAATAAATCTTGCTCGTAAGTTGTAAATAATTGAAAATCTGTAGAACAAGTTTTCTAAAAGTTCGTCAACGCGAGGAATTAGTAAGTAAGAACATTAAATAGTTCCAGGATTTCTTAGTAAACTTAGTAAAGTTGTTTAAGCAATTTCTGACAGTGATTGAAGTGTTTTCAAAAGGTAGAATTGCGTCGGGTGCCTACTCTTAATTAGAAATGGAAAGTATAATAGGTACACTCAGTCAAAGGTATTAATTTAACTAACAGTTGTTTAAATCTGTTCTTAATTATTTATTTAAACAAAAAACGGAAAAATACGAACCTAATCCAACTCTGAGGATTATAAAGATATATTTTTAAATGGTTTTTTTTTATAATTTATTTAAGTATATATACAGTGGTGGTCATATAATTAGAAACACTTCTTATGAATAAAGAAAGTATAGCGTAAACGTACAAATTATATAATAAAATATACACATTCAATAATTAATAATCATGCAATAATATAGCCACTCAAATTAAAAACTCATTAAATGGTTAAAATATAAAACATATTTTACTTTCAATTATAAAATGAGTCTTAAACATGTATAAGTTTATTGACTGTTACTTGCCACTTGGATTAGAAATATTTTAAAAAAACGTCCATATCTCGTTCTTTTTTTGACATTGAAAAATAATATTTCTTTCTTGTCTTTTTCTATTATTTTGGCGGCGATTCAAAATTTTACCTGAATTCTATTTTGTTCAAAATGGGCAAATATAAAAATTGTTCTATTAAGAAAGTTTTTAATGCAATTGATCATTAAAAAACACATGGAAATGATGAAACAGTTGAAAATGGTCTTAGTAGGGCTCGGCCAAGGAAATCCTCTCCGAGAGAGGACAAGCTAATCGTTCGATAAGCTAAGAATAAAATTTATAATGAACAAAAAGTTCATTTGAATTAAATACTATTTGTTATATGTTTCAAGAAATTTGCTTATCGATAATTATTTTGATTGTCTAACAGTGAATCTGGCCTCGGCAGCCCGGCACGGACTTCAGAGGAATTCCTAAGTCCACAAACCCCGCCGCCAGTCTCGCTCGCTACTCCCGCTCCCAAAACTCCTACTCCTGGTACTCCTAAATCCACGTCACCACAGCCGCCGTCACCAAAAATCATTTCCACGTCGATTCAAGACTCCAATTCTCCCCCTCTCTGCACGAGTCCACCAGCCAAAGAGCATCGGCCAACTCACGATTCAATAGCACGATTTAAAACGTAAGTATCTGTATATATAGTTTATTGTGTACTTGTACTTAATAAATTGCTTTGACATTATTAAAAAATCGCTGTGATTAACATAATTAATAATTTAACTAAAACAAGACTTAACTAACATTAACAAGCGTTAACATGGCGTTACATAAATTGAGAGTGAGATTAATATTGCCAAAGCTTATAACTTCAAAGTGTGTTTGCAAACCTAAGTTACGAGTATGTAACCGACTGCAAAATTAGCCTTTAGCCATGAATTTAGAAATTGCACGCTTACAAAGGAACTGGCTCTGTACAGTTAGTAAATATTAAAGACTGATTGACTTACCCTAGATAAAAGAGTGTGATCATTATGTCATTAGGTTCACCGCACACGTATGACCTCTAAAGCACGGCGCACACTTGTCTCGGGACTGAAATCTGCACTCTATTTCTTCTTTCTTCTATTGCATGCAGCATACATGAAAAACTGTTTGGACTTGATCAAGAAGTATTTGGCTATAGGTGAGATCACTAACATGTATTGATTAGAAAATAGCTTAATATTTTTGTGGTTTTACAGTAGTTAATTCCAATACTTTAAAAATGAAGTAAGTATATCAACTAAATTAGTATTAATATGAGACAAATTTTAGTTATTAATAAAATTATTTGTTATAAATGCAACTTCTTATGGTTACCGTAATAAATAGGTAGATAACGAATTGATTAACTAATGTTGTTCCAGAAATTTATTGGAAAAAACATCGGACTCACTTCTTAAGGCTGCTAAAGTAGGCGACCTGAAATTGGTAAGACGACACCTGTGTTATACAAAATTGAATAAATAACTTGTAATGTCTCTAAATCGAAACATCATAATTTCCTACTTAATATTATTTGGAATCTATCGGACATGTAAAAATAATGTGGATTAATAATGTAATAAAATGTTATTATTATTTTGTATCCCAATACTCAATTATTAATTTGGCAGCTCTAGAATTACTATGTACTCTGACTGACTGAATCTTTGTATAATTGTCGGAAACTCCCAAGACTTCTGTGTGCGATGCGTGGGATGTGGTGACTCTTTACATCAGTATTAATACATGTAGCCCACATGCTTAATTCGTACTCTAGTTATTTATAACACCACTAGATTCAAAGCTTCAAATATTTTTTTAATCATATGTTCAAACATCTCTTAATATGATCGAATACATATATGTCCGACATGCTTTACTAAGTATGCTTAGTAAGTGCACACTAAATTACAAAATCAAATCAAATCATTTATTCATGCAGTACATTTTAGCCGCTTCTCAAAGTGTAATTTTTTATATTAATATTTTTCCCTACCGTCCAGTTCAGTACACAGATTCAATTGCGAAGATCTGGCAAGAAACTTAACAGATTTAACAGTCAGTTTTTAATTCGATTAAAATCCGTTAAAAACCCCTTAAAAATGTCAAAGTGCAAATGTTTGAACATAATACTGAAATACATATAACTACATAGCAAGATACGCGCCTTTGTAGTTAAGTTTTGGCTAACGCTAGCTTACACAAGAATACCGCAATCACACATTTGACGCTATTAACAGAGATATTTGTTTCTTTAAAGATGAAAGAGCTACACGCAGCAGGTTACTCCCTTCTATCCATCGACTCTAGCGGGCAAACTGCATTACACATTGCCGCTCGATACGGCAACAAAGAGATAGTCAAATACCTGATAGCGTGTGCTCCGACCGCTATTCTTAACATGCGCGACAACGAACGAGGACAAACAGCTCTACATAAAGCAGCAACCCATAAGAGGCGGGCGATATGTTGCATGCTGGTGGCCGGTGGAGCATCCTTAACCAGACAAGATCATGCCGGTCTAACCCCGAGACATCTGGCGTTGCGGGCTGAAGACCACGATTTGGCTGCGTACTTAGAAAGTAAGTTATAAAAAACGTTATTAGATATTTGTAGACATATTTTAGATTTATATATTCGACGGCCCTGGTAGTCTAACGGTTTAGCACTCCTCTTTACATGTAATGAACATGGATTCTTCACATGGTACCAACATTTGTATTCATGAGTATGATTGTTCGTATCGGTTTGGGTGTTCTCTATGTATGGTATGTATGTATTTACAAAAAAAGTATGTATTCATATCAGTTATCTAGTACCCAAAACACAAGTTCTGCTTAGTTTAGGACTAAATGGCGCTGTGTGAATTGTCCAGATCTATTATTGTTATAATATATATTCAATTAATATATATCTTCATTGAACAAAGAGTAGCAAGCAATGTTACTTAGTTATATTTTTAGGGTCCTAGTGACTTGAATGATAAATCCTAATATCGTCATATTGTATGGTAAATCGTAGTACTGATGTCCTTAATATGAAGTGATATCTGTCATGCGTGCTTTGTATGTACCGCATGTGTGCTTTGTACAGGATACAAATTATAAATGTTAATTAGTACTATCTGTATTATCAACCATAATCACACTAATAATAGAAGCCTCTATAAGCTATGCTTTTAACCCTGTTCTATTCTAATCTATACTGTTAAATGTAAATTTACAATGTCTAATAGTATATATCTAAACGTAGATTCTATTTCAGGTCAAGAGCATTTCCAATTAGTCTCTGAAGACTTAGAAACTGCTGTTTGAAAAAGGGAAATCTGATCGCAGAAGGGCAATTTATTACAAAAGCACCTGGAACTCTGAGAATTACGAGTCTCAAATAATACAAAATATAATTGAAAATGTTTGAGAACTATTTTTATTATACTCTAATACAGAAGTGATATTTAGATCTTGTGACTATTGTAGAAGAATTGACTATTTCACTGTTTAAATATTTCCATTGAAAGAGTTTCATAAATATTGTATTTTGATTCTAAATTAATAGTGTAATTATGATATGATTAAGTCGGTATAAATATTACGAAATAACAATATTTTAAAATATCAAAGATATTAATAGATTTTAAATATTTATATAATTAAACGATATTCCATTTAACAATTCTCTACAGGGCATTCTAAGAACTTAAAACCTAGTGAATAGCTACATTTTGCTTAGGTTGATATAGATTAAATTTAAGAGCTACTGGCTAAAACTATATTTAAAAATCTATTCCCTGTAAAACTAACGTCTGTAGACTGCTGCTATTTGATCTATATAATATGAAAGCGTCTCAGGTTGTACTTAATACTTATTTATTTACTTACATGTCACTGGCATCTAAAATTATTATGTTATCGTAGATAAGTAAGTACTCAACTTTCTAAGATTACGTATACTTTTAAAAGAATATACAATTAAATTCATTTGAATTAAAAATATATTCGTGTATATAATATTTGACTTTACAACAAAATACCTTTAAACAGCTCTGATCTTATGAAAAATTAAATTAAAGTCTACTTCGGATACATTATACCTACATGCAATATTGATGATATTTAAAATGATATTTTAATGTTATGTTTGTTAATTATTACCAATAGTAGAATATATGCAATAAATAATGTGCAAATAATACCTAATGCACTTTTTCTGCATACAAATATATAAATTGCCTTTTCTTATTATAAGAATACGGTCTAAACTATGTCTAAATGTATCGTTAAATTGATATGATACTATAATATTAAACCATTAAAATAATTAAAAAGATATTATATTTCGTAAGTAATAAATGCAATTTAAGTACATAGATTATTTTATAAGGATGCTTCGAGGTCTATTTACTATGGTAGACAAGGGAAAGTTAATCAAAACAAACGTACCCAATTATTGAAAGTTCGATGATGAAAAATAATTCTATTTGAAGCTACCGGTTCCACTTTACCATAACTTTAGTCAGAATCAAGAGAGCAAATTTCACTCGTAAAATTTATATAAGTTCCAACATTTATACAATTTATGACGGTGCAATTTAAACAAAAAATTGTGAAATATGCTCAATTTTTGTGACACTAACTATGTCTATATTCGGCATTTGTTAATATAAATAGTGTAATGCTCATGGTATTGAATTTTTAAATTTAAAAATTACTATTTTAATATTTATAAAAAATATTTTATACTTGAGTACTATTAACCAAGCAAACTAACCGGATCTGCTAAGGGTAGAGAAAATATTATTAAAAGTATATAAGAAAAATGTTTTCTTTATAATTGCAACTTATTGTTTACAAATAAATTTTACGTTACGTTTCCTAACCTATTGATACTGAACCTACAAATTAGCGTCTGACTTTTCCTCCACAAAAAATATGCATTTCTAACAATCTGCTGTAATAGAAATATTATGTATTTTTCTTACATATGTTAACCTATCATCTAGTACGTAAATTATTATAATATATATAAAATGATACTTAATCATGACTATATGTATATGTATGGTAATATATATGGTAATTACCTAACACATGTTTCTGTAAAATATACCTAGCCAAATTTATCTTATCATGCTGCCTACATATATCTGGTTGTAATATATCCTTAAGTCGTAAGTAGTTATTATACCTTAAGAAACTCTACATTTTTTTTCACACTTGCGACACTTTATTGCGAACTTAAAATAGCTATACTATCTTCAGCAATAATAGGTTATTACTTTAAGACGAATATTAATGTTTCTGTGTACGTTTTAGTAAATGCTGCTGATATAATCAGTACATTGTATAATGAATGATCTCAGTGTCACTTATTCATATAAGTATTATTTTACCACTATACGTACATATGATTTTTTACTCGTGCCTACCCTATTATGATGAGAATTTATCGTATATTAAAACTAAAAAAAATACTTTTTAGATGCCATGTCTATATTCAATCTTATATGTATATGCAATTGATAAAGTACCTCTCGAGTCACATTATTTTATACACAATTACATAGCTATCATAAAAATATAACACGATAAAAAAACATAGGTATGTACTGTGTATGTAAATATTTATAAGTATTTGTAATAGGAATGCCTTATACTTTCCAACTTCTTGGTACTTCGTTTAAAATTTTCTTGCATACATGATTCTGTGATGATATCATAACTCGATATCGTGGAGCTTCAGAAAATCAGTTCCTTATTTAACTTTTGTAACTAATTAATAAGATCTCGTTTCTGTAATAATATTTACAACGATCTGATTTCACCTAATTTTAGATAACGACACATGTTATATGGAATCTTCTACATAATTTAGATTAGATTAGATTGCATTACGAGTACCTACATAGGTACTCGTAATGCAATTGAGAATCCTGTGAAACAGTAAACATTTTTTTCCACCTTTGTATGTTATTATAAGTATAGTACAATGTTTTGAAATATTTTGTGGTGTTGTTAGTGTTACATATATAACTTTAATGCCAATACCTCTATGTATAAAATGTACTCTAATAGTTTAGTGTTTAACGAATTTACTCGTACTACTCGCTAACAAGCGAACAATGAAAGACAAAGCTGTGAGAATTTTGGTCATAATGTAAAAAGTAAGTTCATTTTTATTGTAAGCGAGAACGATGTACAACCGTTACACTGTCTGTGAGTTTCTTTGTTTGTGATTGTAGATAGAGCATTATAAGATTCATAATTTATTGTTCTATAGTGTAATAAATTGTTGTGTTTGAATAATTTCGCTGTCCTTGTTGTCATAAATGATTTCTGCTGTTGATTATTCTGACGAGTTTGTTGTCTAGGCGTTAGTATATAGTAATGAATGAAAATATGTGGACTTGTTGATATAAATTATAGAAAATAAACTACTTATTAATTGTGGCACCCATGTGTAGACAAAAGCATATTTTTTAAACGTTGAAAAAAAAATGCAACGTTTATAAATACTCTTTTGTTCTATTAACATCAAATAGATGTTGGTATTAATTATACTTAGATATTATTAAATACGTTTTTATTACCTAGATCTATATCTACATTTCTTATGAGGTCACTATCTAGCGACACAAATAAAACTATTTTGAATACTTAATACCTAATATTTAAAAAAAAACCTAATACATATTTGTTTATGTATCCATTAAAATCCAAACTATTTCCTACGCCAATTTAATCTTAAAATATGTTAGTGATACTTTCCTATGAAATATTAATAGTCTTTGTATTATACTGTATTGGAGGCCTTGATTCGTGTAGTGTGTTTTATATTATCTCTTATAATAAACAAATAAGTATTTTCTCGACCAAATTCTATCTTAAAGGAAATTTAATATCACTAGGTTAGATTCAAGCACTGATTTACGAATGCTTTTTGATCGAATATTTGATAGAACTACTTATAATTATAACGTTGTTTAATTTATTTTTAAATGTTTATCAAATCCCTACTAAAACATCCTCTTATGCGCCATGTGCGGTGATCGTAATATTTATGGTATCTAAGTAAATAGATAAACTTTAATCTACTTAGGTGTACTTACTGGACTGTATGAATAAAATGATAGTAAGTAACTTATTATTAACATTTAAGATACCTACATAAAAAATCGAATGTATCATATGTTCTGTCGCTTTACCAGACTGTTTACTAATGTCAAATTAAAGAAAATGGGATAAAACTTACTGTCTTAATACTCACGTTAACTGGTTGTTACTTAGGTAGGTATACAGAACATTTACATCGTTTTCTCAGTAAACTTAATGGACATGTTTTTTTTAATATTGGTTTAGTAAGAAAATTTTACTAATTACATATTGTGTAGAGATGCAATTTTGATATAAATGTTTGAAAATTTATCTCGATGTACCTAAACAACGAATCCTGTATTAAAATCATCTTTAACGTAGCGTCTCCATGGATATAGATAAATGCTGAGAGAAATCGTGCGCTATTTTTCTAACTGTATAGTCTCAATTCTTACAGTACTTTTCGGTAACATTAAAAGAATCATTCAAATAAAGCACCAACGGTTTCTAACATACCTATAGCACTGCAAATAATATTATCGAGTTTATAATTATAATTAATGAAATAAAGCACCGCGCTGCATAAAACCACACGTATGGAGATGTTAACACAGCAGTTCACAATCGGGATCATTGTAGGTACCCCTAAAACATTTTACAAAATGAATCTACTCAAGCATTAACTTAGTGTAGTTTCGAGTGTTAGGATTATTAGTAGAAGTGAGTAAATGTGTTACATGCTATATCACCTCTCTATGAGACCAGCAAGGCATTCCATTTTTCATTCATTAATAAAAATTTGAAAAACTCGGTAGATATTTAAGATATGTATTCATTTAAACTTTTTGAGCTTTTCTTTTCTTAGTATTTATCTATTTGTAGGTATTTTGTTAATTTGAAACTGATTTATCTATCGGCGAGTTTATATATTTTAAGTATTTTTAATATATATCTACCGCTTACGGAATTAGCTGTCTGCTTTTCTTAATAATTAATTTTGCATTTTCTCTTAAGTATTATCGTACTTATTTTTGAAAGAAAATACTCTTTCAGCGCTCACGAAAATAATAGTGGAAATACTATTAGGTATGTATTAGTGATCAACAATTCTATATTGTAATTTTAGATACTTAATGAAAATACCATTATTTTATGATATAAAACTATGACTTTGTGCTGACGAGGACTTTATTCAGCAAGGAGAATTTCATGTATAATTAACGGATACTTAACACGCCCTTTCAATATTATAGTATCAAGGACAAAATGTGCACTCAGGATTGTCCCTCGTCAGTGCGAAGAAAAGCCTTATATTATATAACTAATAGGTAATTTCCTAAATGTGAAAACCTACACTCCGTGTTATATCTTTTTTACAGAAATTATATT